ACCTGGAAATACAGGACAAAATACAACATCTGATGTAGCGTGCTTCAGTAAGACTGTAGTCTTGAGTTGGGCCCATTGGGTTCTTAGCCAATGCGCAAGGCAAGTTCAAGCTATAAGAAAGGGGGTATTAGGCTGAAACTCACTGGAAATGTGAAGCTGATGCTAGTAGCTGGAATGAAATGCCCAGCTGGTATCTGACATCTACCTCTAGTACCATGTCATCAGCCATGGCTTTTATCCTTATTATAGACCTATTCTGGCACAGTGGGTCTCTGGGAAAAATCAACCTTATTCCTTTCCTTCCCATACTAAGTTCTCTTAGTTGGTCATGACAGACCAAGCTGACATGTGGAAAACAGCTTCTGTGAAAGGCGTTGCTGGCAATTAGCACTGGGTACTTGGAGGCTTCTCTCCAGGAGAGGTCCTAGATAGAGCATGGAGACAAACATCTCTCAGCTTTCCTTCCCACAGCCCTCTGGGGTTTCTGCCCATGTGAGCTTGTTCTGGGGGTGGTAATGTGCAACTTAAGTGCAGCCAGATGTTTCTTGCTGAGCACTGATTGATTGCAGTAGCTGTTTTGTGATGCTGTAGCCCAGAAACTGCTGGAAGGAGCGTTTGAGTGACAAATCTTCTTGTTGCAGAGTGAAAGAGCTCAGCCCTCATAATGGAGGTGGTGAAACACAGAATCAGATGGAGACTGAGAATGAGGAAACAGAGACCAGTGGAGAAGGCTCAGGTTACAATGTATGTGCGTGCAGTGGGCTGAACAGATCTCAAAGCTGGGAACAACTTGCTGTTCTTACTTGGGCTGTTTCTTGCAGCTCTCCAAGGATGAGGAGGAAGATATCTCTCCCCACATGTTCAACTTTCGTGAGGCTATGACTCAAATTAGTGAACGGGAGGAGAAGGTTGTAGAACAGCTTAGAGAACTGAGACAGGTATGTGGAAGAGGCAGGCCCAGCCCAGGCTGCCTTCTACATGTTGATAGCACCTTGCCTCGTCTGTGCAGAGTGCTGCGGGGTAGGCTGCGGGCTGTACTGCAAGATGCTGTCTGTGGTGTTACTTTTTCCTCACTGCCAACTTTTTCCTGTGGTTTCCTGCCCAGCTAGTTAAACTGGGGCATTTCAGTGCTTGTGGCCAGCTGGTCCCCCTTCCCCTCCAACTAGCAACCTCTACTTGCTGCTAATGAGCACTGACTGGTACTGGTCTGTAGAAGCTCAGCTCTGTTGATTGGTGTGCCAGATTTGAAGAAACTAACTGAACTTCCAGAAAGTCAGTTTCTCATCGCTGTTATCCTTGTAAATATAGAGAATGACGACTGAACTTGACTACCTCTTGGGAATCACAGAGCAACCAGACTATGATCTCGAGACCTTTGTGAGCAGAGCTAAGCACTTCGTAGAGGAGAACTCAAGAAACTTCTTTAGTGTCAGAGGTATGTTAGTGCCTGTCTCTGACTAGCACTGTCACTAATGTTTTTTTCAAAGACCTGAAAAGTAGCACCAGCCTACCTGTGGGGGTTTGAGCACCCGGTCCTTCTGCATAGCTTACGGTTTGGATCACTTTCCTAGGTGATCATAGGGACAGATCTGAAATGTCCTATTGTTTGCACTTTCCAAAGTAAAATTTTTGGCTAGTAACTTCCACTCGCTTTGCACTGCCATATAAAACTGCCTTCCCTTGAGCAGAATGCAATATCCACCAAGAGCAGATGAGCTGAAGTCTGTTTGGCTAGTTGGCTATATAGTTTACCTTTTGCCTTGGCCAGAAAACAGACTTTGAGAAGTAGGGCCTAGTGCCATGTTCTAGGGATTCATAGGGTATGCCCACTGTTTCCACTCCTGTTTTCATGGATATCAGGCCTTAATACCCATCCACTTACAACAAATGTCTGCCAGGCATATACTGAGATGCCATGTCTGCCAGCACCTGCGTTTGGCATGCCTTTGCCTTAGTAAGGGCATTATTTAATGTGCAACAAAATCCTTCCAACTGTTCAGTTCTGACCCAGTTTGGAGACTTCCCAGCTCTGTGTAGGATGACAGCTGCCTGTTCCCTGAGCACTGCCTGGCTTTGTTTGGATCATGCTGGTTGAAGCGGTGGTAGAGAGGCAGCAAGGCAGAGGCATGAGCTTGGCTAACACATGGTAACGAGTGCCAGCTACACAGACTGCCTGATTAGGACAGGGGAAGCTACACTGGTAACTGCTACTTTTCTGCCACTGTTGCAGTAACTTGGGCTTTGATTGCTACTTGAGCCATTATAGCTGGCACAGCCTTTGCCTCAAAAACAGGGCTGTGAGGGTTTTTTATTTTAATGAGGCTGAAAATTGTGGCATCAAAGTGAATGTTAACCTGCAGTAGCGGCTTTTTTCTTGAACAGCCCCGGCTGTCCTCCCATCTCAAATGCAGCCTGAGAGCTGTATCCCTCCATTCACCATGGAGGAGTGGTGACAAGATAACAAGGGTAAATGCCCTGCTACCCTCTATGCCTCTTAGGCCAGGGAAATCTGGCCCTCTGGGGTGGTTGCATTAGTGGCATCTAGTTTGTACTGCAAAAGTACAAAGTTTGTACTCATCAGTACTGTTGATGAGCAGAAATGAACAAGTACAGCTGAAGAGCTTTGTGGGACCAGGCAGGATTTGATGTTGGCTGAGCAGTTCTTGCCCAGTTCACTTCCCTCTGTGGCCCTTGCAGAGCCCTGCTGAGCTGCTGCGGGGGACAGCTGGGCTGGGGAGTTCAGCTTCCAGGTCAGTCACCCTGTCACTGTCGTCCTTCACAGAAACGTTGGATGCCCTGGGGACTGCCATGCAACTGGAGGAGCAAGCCAGCAAGCAGATGAGCCGGCAGAGGCCTTAAATACAGCAAAACCTGGTTCACAAGCAGTCTTCTGTATGTCTTGCATGTTTGTCAGTGGTTTGTGTAACTCCTATTTTAAATGTGGTGGAGTGTCTGCAGGTTATGTGTGCCTGAGGGCAGTGAACACGGCAGCCTCTCTCTCTTCACGGCCTGGTGTCGGGGCACTCAGCAGAGTGCTAGAAACACACCCCCTGCAAGGCTTGGGGAGGGGGGCCTGAGAGTCTGCTAGATGTGTCTAGCATCTGGCCCTTTGCTAGTGACAATGGTCTCCTCTAATAGAACTAGAAACACATGTATAGTTTTCTAGTGTACGTATAACCTTTCCAGATGTGCTTGAAACATTGCAAAACTGCTGCAAGTCTGGCTTTTCTAGAAAGAAAATGGACTATATGTAATTGTAAAAACTCAGTATTTTAAGAAGTTTGATAAATAAATGTTCCTGGATTTAATTATCTTCTATCTTATAAAATATATTCCTTGCTGATTTTGGTAAAGTCTAACAGCCCCTAAAGACTGGCTGGTGTTGTAGAGAGAGGCTGATTTCTTGGATGAAGTTTCTTTTTAAAGTCTTTACACTTGTAATGTTTACAAAAAAATCACTGAAAATAAATTTTGTCTCAATTTTGAGATCCTGCTGGGTGGAACTTGCCTAGCAAGGGGGAAGCTGGTTTAGAGGGTGCCTATCCTGCACCTGAGCTAAGCTCAGCATGTAGTGAGTGGCTCAGCTCTTATGACATCAGGTAAGTAGGAAGGGCCCTGTGAGACTCCCTTGTACCATTGGAGTTTACTTAGGCTTTGAAGACAGCCCCAGGATGTTACTTCACACTTTTACATATATTTCCCATGGCTAACATGCCACATAAAATACAGACTTTGGTGGGCTACTGAACGTGTGTATTTGAGGGCAGAAGTGCAAAGCTGGCCACTGGCTCAGGTGCAGCAAGGTGCTGTCATGGCCCTTGTGTGCAACCTGGGTCCAGATGGCCCCATACAGTCTGTCCTCTGGGAAGGAGCAGGCAGAGGGGCAGGGTTGGGGAGGACAGATGTGAGGCATGTGCTGCTGCCCTCCGTTTCCTGTTCAGCTCACTCCAGGGTTTGTCTCTAAAAGGACAAAACAGCGCTGTGAGCTCTGGGTCCCACAACACAGGATGCCGCTACACAAACATCAGATTACAAAGAGATCCTTCTACTGTTACTCCCTTTTTCCCTAGACCCCCTACCCTGGTCTCCTGCTTCCTGAGCTGCCTTCTGCCCCTGAAAGTAAAGGGTGTAACTTAAGTGACTGTGCCCCCAGCGCTGCACACACCTGTGGACTGCATCCTTGCTATGTCTCTGGGGATGTCTACTGTATTGGAGGCCAGTTCTTCAGCCTGGACTGGATCCATTTTTGTGTACCAGGTCTCAGGACTGTCCTGGAAAAGGCAGCAAGAATTAAGATCTTAATGGGATGTGAGCAAGCAGCAGTAGTGACAAGCAGCTAAGAGATGGGATACTTCAACCCCAACAGGATCCTCCCCCACAGCTGGGGCACTTTGCAATCAACAGTTCAGGTGCTGGAAGCAGTGTGGGGCTGGGCACTCTAAGGGCCTCTGAACTGTCAAAGCTGACTTGTATCTGGGCTCTACCTGCATCATGTTAAGATGGCACATCCAGAGCAAAAGGGCTGTTATACCCTACTGAGTTTGGACTAAAGCAAGGCAGTCCTGTTCCACTTCAGGAGGATTATCCAGTCTTGCCCAGTGGTGTCTTGGGGTGAGTAAGGATGGGCCTGGGTGCAAGGAACAAAATGTTGTCCCTTATTTGTTCCACCTTTCCTCCCTGGACCTAACCTTACTAATCTGTATCTCCACCCCAGGAGCTAGAGTCAGGAGAGACCTGATTTGGAGGAGCTCAGTTCACCTCTTGCCTCAGTGGCCCTCCAGCTCACAACTTCTGACATCAAGTTCCCGCTGCCACAGAAGTAGCAGTAGTCTGAGATCCCTCCTTGCTCTGTCTTGGGGCTGTCAGAGCAAATATCTTCCTGAACACCGAGATTGAATGTGAGCACTTCTCAAATGGTGGCTCGGTTTATTTCTGGGCTCTCATGCAAGACTGAATTTCTTGTGAAAAGAAATCCAGTCCCTACATCCCTGCAAAACAGACCAAGGTCCTAGGGCCACAAATAAATCCTGTAAGGGAGGCATGTTTACCATAAAGTGCTGGAACGGTATGTGTCCTAGTGCCTTCTTTACGCACTCCTCCACAACGGGAAAT